AAGGATCATTAGACCTCCAACTAGGTTTGAAGATGATGTTTCCTTACTATCCTATCATGATATGATTGAGGATGAACCTGAATCCTATGAAAAAGCTTTGGGTAGTAAGGAAACATCATCTTCAAACCTAGTTAGAGGTCTAATGGTCATTCTTTCCCTATCCCTAACAAGGTGGCAATCAACTAAAAGCTGTACAGGCTCTAAAATAGTGATGGCAAAAAAATTTGTCCTGCACCGCCTCGCCTCGCCTCGCCCTACCTTGGCCCCCCCATCCCGGCCCGAATGGGTGGAAAAAAACCCACCCCGACAGGATAGTAGGGCAGGGCGGGAAAGAGGTGTCCTGTCTCAAAGCGCCCCGAACCCGCCTCGTGAAAAATAAAAAAAACAATTAACTACAAATTGAAAAACAAAAACTAGTTAATTTGAAGTTTTGGAAAAAAATAAACTGGGGCAGGAAACGGGGCAAGCCTGCTCCCCTAACTCGTCCCGCCCCGCCTCGCCCCCTGCCCTGCTTCGCCTCGTCTAAGGTGGGGCGATGAGCTAGGTAGGAAGGGGTGGGGGAGTGGCGAGGTGGGGTGGGTGGGATAAGGTGGGGGTGCCCCTCTCAGAACCCGTCTCGTTGCCATCTCTACTCTAAAACAGCCTCAAAGAACCCCACCAGGTTCAAGTTTAGCTTCAGGTTGGTCATTGTTTAGATGGGCAGAATGGTCAGAGCCCTCCCTAGGTTGCTCCACCTCAATCTCAACCATTTTTCTCACATTTTCAGATTGTTCAGCAGTCTAAAATAGGTCTACAGGTTGATGTTCAGACTTAAAATAGGGCAGGTCATCTTCATTAAATACCACATTTCTACTTATAATGGCCTTATAGCATTTAAGCTCCCTCACCCATAGTCTATAGCCTTTAACCCCTTCCCCATAATTCAGAAAAACACACTTAAGGGTTCCAATTTACCTTCAATTTGGTGTGCAAAATCTGCACATCTAAAAACTCTCAAATTACTAAGTCAACTGGTTTTCCTCTCCATTTTTCCTCAGGGATCTCAAAGTCTACAGTACTAGAAGGGCATCTATTTAACATATAACTAGCAGTTTTAACTGCTTCGCCTCAAAAAAAATTTTTCAAGCCAGAACACAACAAAATATATCTAACTTTATCAAGTATAGTTCTATTCATTCTTTCAACCAAGCTATTTAGTTGTGGTGTGCGTGATTGTTCTATGCTTTAACATACCAGATAATTTATACAATTCATCAAACTCATAATTACAAAATTTCAAACTATTATCAGTTCTTAAAACTTTAATTTTCTTATCAGTTTGGTTCTCATTTAAAAGTTTCCATTCTTTAAAAATATTAAAAGTGTCTGATTTTGCTTTTAACAAAAAAGTCCAATTTTTTCTTCAAAAATATCCATAACAAGAAGATAATATTTAAAACCAAAATGAGTACATACAGTTGCTGGTCCCCACAAATCAGCATGCAAATATTCAAGTATGGAGGTAGATTTATGCATTCCAGTTAAGAAAGGTAGTCTATCAAGCTTTCCTAAAATGCAATAGTCACAAAAACTCAATTTTTCAATGTTATCTTTGCCAAAAACATCCTATTTTTTCAAAATCTGAAGACCTTTATCACTAATATGACTCAATCTCTTGTGCCGTATTTGTGATTTATCATTTGGGACTGAGATTATGGCTGAAGTGGACTCCAAAAACTTTTTAGTTTGTAAAATGTAAAGGCCATGTCTCTAGGGAACTTCTACAATCAGTTGAGAGTCCTTCAAGATTTTAATGTAACCCTTATTGAAAACAATGTCAAAGTTAAAGTCATCTAAAACCCCTAAAGAAATCAGATTACATTGTAAATCAGGAACATATCTAGTCTTCTCAAGAATCAACTTATTATTCCCTTTGATCTAAGTAACCCTCAAATTCCAGAAAACACTTGGTTTTGCGACAAAAGAATCACAAGGAGTCAATGATTCAAGTTTTCAAAACACAAGTTAGATAATCTACGGAGGCAGAAAAAATCAACCAAGGCAGAAAACCCAACAATGCAGTAAACTCAACTAATCAGAAATCAAATAAGGCAATGTAATATATATGAGAACAATTCGAAAATGGAAAGATCTCACCAAAGCCCTTTAATTAGGGTTTCAAGAAAAATCGAAGAGCAGCTCAAGATTATAGTCAGCATCAAGATCGAGCCAAACAAGCGTCAAGAACTCCCTCCTTTAATCTCCAATACCACTGTTGGGAGGAGATCACATTGGTCTCATAAATAAACAAACATATGTGCAAAAGTAACAAAAAAATCGAACTGAAATAAGAGCAGTAAAAATCGAACACAAAGCATAAACTGCAAGAATCAGAAACTGCTATAATCGAACTTAGTTGAAGGGTAAAAAATATAGAAGAATAAAATGTAAAATGAACACTTATCTTTATTATCAAAGATCCACAGGCAGAGTTCATACAATCAGTGTCTCAGTCACTAAACAACAACCATTCGGACATAAACCAGAACTAAGGCATGGATTACAAAGAGTAAAAACACTCAGACTAAACCAGTATTTCACACAAGATCTCAACCTTCAAACAACAGCAGTTCACTCAAGAACAACATCTCAACTAAAAGAAGAATCATACAAGATTACAACTCTTTCGAGAGAACAAAGAAATCAAAAAAGTATTTTTGATTTAAACAGAAATATTGAGAGAAGAGACTCGAACGGCACAGAACAATCGAGAGAGAGAGAAATCAGAGAGTCGATTAATTACTGTGCAAACCCTAGACGAGCCTTTTATAGGAGTCTCCAGAAGTGCCCTTCATCCAATGGTTATGGTGATTCCACTTGGTGACATCCCAACCGTCCAGCAAAAAGTTAAGTAAAAGACATGACTTCTTCATTCAATCAACACACGTTTTTTGCACCAAGCAATAAACCAATTTATTGAGTTAGCTGGGCCAACAATTTCAACCCATTGGGTCATTGCATCATTGTGCCATTTTCCCTTCACCGTTTAATATAGCATGCATACATTCAAAGATTTATGATATTTATGTATATATTCAATTGTGATTTCAATATGTTTAACATGGACAATGAATGAAATATTATATTTGAAAACGAAGTAATATTTCCTATAAATCCTTGTCATTTACATAACTTTTATCCATCAACAGTAAATATAATATGAATATATTCATTCAAAGTCTGGCAATACAAAAACTCATTATGTATTTAAAATAGTAACATCAATATTTTCATACAGATAAAAAAATAAATATTTGTTTTATCTCACAAATAAAACTTAACATTTATTAACGGACAATTAATATAATATTTATATATACAAAGACTAGTGATATATCAAATCAACAAAATTTCAAAATTGTGATTTCAATATCCTTACACCAACAATGAATAAAATATCATGAGGTTATCTCAGAATATGAATAACAATTTCTATGAATGATCATTTTCTGCCTGTCACAATTGATCTTGATATTTTTAATCAACGATTTCAAAATTGTGAATTCAATATTGACAATGAATACAATATTATGAGTTTATCTCTGAAAATGAATAACATTTCCTATGCACAAATATTTCCCGCCTATCACAAATTACCTTAATATACATACATGCAAAGACTAGTAATATTTGAATTTAATATGAATTTCAAAATTGAGAATTCAATATACGATGAATAAAATATTACAAGTATACATTTGAAATCGAGTAACATTTTTTTTCTATATAAGGCGGCAAGTTAGTCAAACAAAGCAAAATAACCCGAATATTGAACTTTCCATATGAAAAACTACTTTTCAATAGACAAAAATCAAAGCTAAGAAATTTATCAAAGCTTAAAAACTACATAAAATGAATTGTAAAGTAGAATAGTTAATTAAGAGTCCTAAAAAAGACAGTTCTAATAATATTTGCTAACAAAGAAATTTATCAAATATTCAAGAACAAATAAAAGGTTATTTCAAGACAATGCACGTTTTGTGTAATGATGGATGGGATTTCCAACCCATAAAAAAACTCCAAGAAAATGGGAAAGATTTTTTGTAAAAAATTAAAAAAAAAAGTTGTATGAAATTTTAGTGAATTTATATGATTTGCAACCCATAATCCACTCACTCCTTTTGGTTATTAAATGATGGGTTTGTCCTTCTTTTTAGATAATCACAAATAAAAGAAAGTAGGAAAACAACAAAAAATAAGGAAAAATTGCAAATCGGGTCTCACACATTTTCAAAAAATATAAATAAATTTCACTTAAAACAATTAAATGCATATCAACACATTAAAAAAAAAAAGCTTTAATATATAAAGAGTTTGCTCGAATCTTAAAAAATGAACGGACTCCTCAAAATAAAGAGTGCGAGGTTTATGAAGAGTGCAATTTGTAAAGAGGTTTCTTAGAACGGTTTTCATATTAAAAGTAAGTTATAATTTTTTTTTGATTTGAGTGCAGGTTTCTATTTCTCATTTTGTTCATGTGTGCTCTCAGGATATAGATTAAGGCTTAATCTCAATGCACAATACATAGTTTTGTAGAACTGCAACAACTGCAAGTTGATGAATTAAGCATGTTTGAAAGTTGCTTATAATCAATTTAAATTATAATTAGATAAAAATAAGTGATAGAGAAATTATCAGTAGTATATTCACAAAATGAATGAATAAAAAATGATTTGACATGGTTTATAAACATCTGTAAAACATGGGCATTTTAAATAAAATTATGATTCACATTTTCA